ACTTCTGGACCTTTTTCATTCCAATAAGACTTCATTATGTAAATGAGCATTTGGAACTTTTTTGTTTACCAAGGCGTCAACTTCATAAGCCGCAAATTCTTCATCAGTCTAGCGTGTTTATAGTGTGAATTCACTACTTCTGCTGTGTATTTAAATCACGCTTGAAGGAGTTCACAGTTTGAAAAAGAAGGCAAATAATTCGTCAGATTGATTCTCTTAGACTAACCACGGTGGCATTGCCGAATGCCTCTTCACGCACGCCGACATTCGAGGAAGGTGAAGGCGAAGCACTCGTCGTGGGCAAGTCTATCGCACAATCTGGAGTCACGGTGCTGCACTGAAGTCGCCACTGCACAACACCAACAGAGGCCACACAACCGCCACAGTTTCTGGTTAGCAAATATCTCTGGAAGATCTTGGCTAAAACCAACTTACTTGTTGTGGACTTGGTTTCGTGTCCTTAAGCATGACTACTTTACTTTATCAGCACAAGAAAACACTGACCAAAGTGTACCACTCTAACGTCAAGAACATCTTTTACTAATTTTTGCATGTACATTGTTAACATTCTGCAAGTTATGGGTGACAATTTTCCCCAGTTTTTATTTGCAAAGTGGTAGAAACTGGACCATAAGATTGGTTTTCATGCACTGTACACCTATCGAGATTACAATAATAGCAGCTGTTACACGTATTACTTTAATAGAATCAGCAGTGCTTGGCAGGAAGTAATCATTCTCGAGGTACTTGTATGCGAAATTAACCCTACTTTTAGCAAATGTCGAATCCCACTAAGATCTAAAATGGATTGCGGTTTGAATCCGAACACTGCTAACCACAATTTAAAAACATCTGGAAGATGTTTATTCGAAACCGTAGTGGCTCCAGAAAAACCGAGGATTCTTTCATCCATGTACTCATGGTGAACCACGCTGACTCACGTCCACTTACCCTATCATCGTATAGTCCGCCAAACTGGCCCCCTTGCATGGCGTACCTGTCGTACATCCGAATCCGTCTGCTCACACCCCCGTGCCTGCACCACCCCCACGCTACCCGCTTCATTCATCTTGCCGTTCAATCATTTGTACTTTTACAGGTAAACCAGGCTGTATTGATCAACAACCTCGTTAAGTCAGACACGATTTTTTTATGCGCAGTGGCCCAACAAAGCGCAAACGGTAAACGGTCGTATCTGTTCGGGTACCTGTGTAAAGCACCCGGGCCAAATACAAAGTGCCGATACTCATACAAATTCACACTAAATATTGTAAATTAGTATTCAAGCACCAACTAGAGTGTACACCCAGATTGGTAAGAAAAAACCCATAGATATAAGATCGATTAAAGTTAAATAAACTTCAAGTCATTTACGGAATCCTTTTCGGGTATTTGAAGGCTGATACAAAGGTTTGACGACAAAATTTTAAAACCACAGTCTGCGCGAGATTTTCGGGCATCCGTACAGACTGCTCGAAAAACCTGTCCCCGACTATAGCACCCGCAGTACACTCAAGGTTAATGTAATCGGCGTGGTTCAGGCTGCAGGTGAACATTTTTCGCCGCACGTCGAGGCACCAAGCGCTAAAGTAGGCATGTCGCGAGGAATGGCAATGAAATACAAAGGAATTTGGGTTTTTATTCAAGCAACGTATGGTCTATTAAACTTGAAAAATAAGGGAGAGAAAAAGAGACGAGAGTTACTACGGCTAAGTAAACTACAACAGTGCGTCAAAGGGCCCAGAATTAAAGCCCCGGAAAGTGAAAGAGGTGCTAAGAGGAGGAGGATACTCCGTAGGAATTGAGGGATCAGAAGACCTCCATCGTTCCGAGTCCAAGGCTGGTTGCCACATCGACGCTGGCTGCAGGTCGTTAATGTGGCCAGAGGAGGAGGCAGAGAAGTTAGATTGTGGTGGATTCGAGGCCTGTGCTGGCGGCTGGTGGCTGGGGTCTGCGAATGGTCGACCGGGAGGCGGGGGTTGTGGCGCCGATGAGTAGTAACATAGCAGTTGCTCATAGGCGTACTTGATTCCGGCTAGGAAGGCAGCTTGCACAGCGTACTGCAGTATGAGGGCGCCGAATCCACGGTAGAGACCAACGAAACCGGAGGGCGAAGTCGCGGCCGACCGGAGGACGTCGAAGGGTCCATCGAAGGACGAAATTATGGGGAGGACGGAGTCGGCGGTGTCGAGGTTGTCAACAAGGGTCCTGGTGCCCTGGACGCACAACCGCACGACTATTGTTTCGAGAGGGTAGAGCAACAAATCTGACGCCAGAGACGCCCACAGGTTCGCGGTCAAATCGGAGCAGTAGCGGGTATAGGTTGCCTGGAGAATGGTCTCCTGGCGATGACCTGATAGCAAGAAGTGGTCACTCGAATCTCCGTCCCCCGCTTTCGGAGAATATCGACCAGACTGCAAGCACAACGAACGACTGAATAGTGCAAACCAGAAATATGACACAGGTAGCTACACTCTAACATTTTGGTTAAAGCGTTTTAAACAGCTTGTGGAAAAAAGATAACGGCTGCTGAAGTTGATACCTTTCTGCATAACAATATCGTTCTGGAATATGCCGACAACACTTTGAATGTTGTAGAATCCGTTAGCGTTAGCCGAAAATAGAATTCGTGGTAAATACCGTACCGGAATGAAAACAAGAAGCACGCCAGTCGTAAACACGCGCAATAACAAATTTCACCCACAGAAATAGGCTTTCAATTCTGGATCCAATATAAAATATTAAACTTCCAAAAAATTAGGATATTGGCAACTGTCCAACTCCCACACTACTTAGTAATTAAGCTAAAACTACACTAGGGCCAAAGACGTCATTCTTGTGCTTCATCTCCCAGTCGAAAGCCTCGTCATCAACTCACAGGATTGGCAGGTTTTGTTCGGAGTAACTAATATGACTCCAAAGCCTTTCCCTTCGTCTCTTTTGCTCACTTCTAACCAGCGAAATAAATTTGACACATGTGCTTGGTGGTCAGGTTCTACGACAGTCATGGCGATAACTTGGAAAATTTACGTCATGTGCACCACCAGTCCATTAGCGCGGTTTGGGATTAAGTGGTGAGGAGAAGTCAGCCAACACAAACAGAACCCCAGTGCAAGTGATGGTATTTTTAAGTAAAACCATGGCAACAACCTCAATAGTCTTCTCTTAGGAATAAATCACATGGCTGTCATGTACTTTTTCACAACCTGCTTCTCCTCCGAAAAGTAATTAGCTAGTAAGCACAACTGGCGGAGTCGTCGACTCAGAGTCGTGCTTGTGAGAAAGCTAGCTGGAGCTTTGCTGAGCCAGTCAAATGCATTTTTCGTGGTCTGAGGTTTCAGTCGCGCACAACCCTTGCACGAAGTGGTGGATGAGAAGGTGTATACAAACCTAGCCCTTTTACATCACACGATGTTTGCTTTAGTGCCGACGGCTTAACAAGCAGGATTCATGAGGTTGGAAAAGGATTCTCGAAAGGAAGACGTTGCTTGTGCAAAAACACGAAGTATCAAATATTCATACGCGTGTGCTGACAGGAAAAAGAGAAAGGGAGTGCTGCAGGAAACACTAAGGTCTGCTCCGCATTTCAGGCAAACCGAGAATACCTGTTGTCTTAACTAGATCCCATTTCAACATCGATGGTTAAA